TTAAGTTCATTTATTAAAGTGTTATTATCAATACAGCTTGTGTCTGTGTGAGTTTGTGCAACATACCAATTACATGAATAAAATACACAATACTTAAAAACGTCTAAAAGAGATAGCAAGGAAGTTTGGCAGCATAGACCCCCCCAAAAGACAAATTTTTATAGTTGGTTGGTTAAATACTTAAATACTCGCTGTAAATACTTACAGTGCAGTCATGCAATCCTCGTTGCTACCACTGTTGGATGGTTCTCCTGGAATCCAATTACTATATTCTAAATCACTACCATCAACGTGTCTCCATGAGCCTTCATTTTCTAGATCATTTGGACCCATAAAAATTGTTGGAAAGTCTAAATACAAACATTGAAACTTTAGTATCAAACACATAGGACAATCTGACACTCGTAATAATTTGAAATATGTTTTAAAAAATGTGTCTTGCCTATGCTTATGCCACGTGTCTTGGAGTGCATGTCTTAAGCTTCGAATTAAATACATTCACATATGAATGTGCATTTTGCAAATGACAGCAAAATTGGTAACAAGCAAGTTTTTTTCTGATCTCACACATATTACGATCGTGTCTGGTACAACGGATCTCACACAAGTTTTAACTTCGTCATGCGCAAAGTATCCCACGCAAAAAGACATAAATCAAACACAAGTAACAGTCTTGTATCGAACAAACGGGTACAACCGACCTGTTATAAGTATGATTTGTACAAAGGGTCATATATTGTATATTGTGTAGGCACGACTGAACAATACTATGGTCTGTATTCTGTATCTAACAAGTCATTGTTAATGACACAGTCCCCGTCCAAAATTTTGTGATTTGACATATCAATTTGATGCTGATGAAGTCATTAAAATTAGATTGAAACCATTAATAGGAGATGGATTGATAAAAAAAGTTATGATTTAGTGCTTTTACTAGAGAATTTGAAATTGGGCAGTCATATTGAAATGTTCATTGCATTCAAGAGAAAGTAGCATGGGTACCATGAAAAACAAAATGGCCGCAAGTCGGCAATATTTGTTTGAATCACGAAAAAAGTATGACGTGCACCTATAACCCAATATGTATGATCATCATACCAACTTTGATCTAAATCGGCCCAGTCATCTCCGAGAAACTGCTGCGGACACGTTTAGGTATCAGAAATAGCAAAATTTCACATCCAAAATGGCCGCCAGTCGGCCATTTTTGCTCCGATCATAAAATAACTTGACGCGCATATGTAAGACATTATGTATTGTCTCCATGTTAAGTGTGAATGAAATCCATCAATGGGTGTCCGAGATATAGCTCCGGACGTGCGTACAGACGGACGGAACGAACACAAATTAATAGTCCCCGTTTTTGGACTTCGTCCGAACGGGGACTAAATACAACTTGGGTTATGAGTGTGTTATGTACATAAGACCGCACAATACTATGAGTGCGTCCCATGCAAGCAGAGAACCTATAAAAACACACAATCATAAAAACCTAATTACCTAAGCCGCCAAAATATTTCTGGAGGAAGTAGTGTCCATCGTTTTGTTCCATCTGATTAAAAGGATCGAATAAAGTTTTGCCAAGATTTCCACAATATGCTGATGCATCGACATAGTTCATAGCCTCAGGAACATATTCGTACTTGATGGTATCTATGGTTAACAAACCAAATGTTTACATTATATATATTCAGAGTGAAAACTACATATCTTTACACAAAGTGACGTAACTTCGTCACATGTATAGACATGTGTTGGGAAACACTGTAATACATGGAACATATGTTTGAAAATAAAAATTATAATTTCACATATTAACATATATATAAGAGAAGTGCTTTTATGTTTTAGTTTTAAAGGATTGTGGTCGACGTGCTGCGCATGTGCGACATTTGTGTTGATAAACACTGATTTTTCCAATGTCCAATGCGCTCTTGTAATGGAAATCACAAGTATAAGATTTGACCTGGGCGCGACTTGCACTGATTACCGCCGGTGACTCCTTCGATACGTTCCAATTACCTAAAAACACCTAACTAAAGCTTGGTAACGTCTCAGTTTCTACTCGTTGATCTGCGCAACAGTCAAAGTCGTTTTGTTTATATGAGAACCACATATCTCGCGCGTACGTGGAGCGACGACTACCGCTCTTTAATCCTAAATAGTACTAAACCCGATATACCTATATAGGGCAACAATACATACTCACTTCTACATGAATTAAACAGAGTGCACGTAGCACCTGGTTGAGTGCCCCATGGACCACCATAAATCAGTCCAGATTCAGGAACAGTAAACATCCGTATGCAAATGTACTGATAATGTTGGCATTGATAGTCTGTCAGGTCAACCCCGTCTGCTATGATGCTGAAAAAAATGGTTGTGTCGCTTACTATATCCACATTGTCGCTTGATACGACGGACGCAAATACGTCTGACAACAATGCATTATTCATGTTGCCCTGAGGGTCATCAACATTAGAGAAAAATATTTCGGTTGAGAAAAAGATATCTGCATTTCCGCTGAGTTTACCGGTTCCGGTAGTCATTGTTGAAAATTCAACATTCACAATAAATGAATTGTCATCATATCCCATGGTTACATCAACATTAGTACTATCCAATAACAACGGATCTTGGTTGTCTGGGGTAACTTGAACTACAAAATAAAATGGGAAATATGTTATTCAGGTGACGGTATCAACTAAGGATTATTCACAGTATATTACGTATTGTTTGACGTCGGTCACCACGGGTTTTCATCATTAGTCAAACATAGTCAATCCCTGTTATATATATATTTTTAATTTCGAGAACAGGCAAAACATCCAAAATTTGTGTTCATGTCAATCATTTAAAAATAGAAATCACATCTATCCTATACAGTCTCTGTGGTTTACAAAACTAATGGGGTAAAAACAATCTGAACAGCTGATGGTTGTCAACTTGACATCATATGGGTTAACTTAGATTAAAAGGAAAAATACACAACAAATATAAAAGCAACGCCTTCTTCATTCCAGCTCGGTATTCAACAACTTGACTTACTCGAGTGAATGGTGCAATACAAAATACAGTTGAGCAATTATGGGCCTTATGAGGTGCTAGTATGATTTGGGGGTTGGCAATCCGTCAGGAGGGGATCACATGACGCAACAAAATCACGACAAGCCCAATACATAATCACCCTAGAACGACCAGAGTATCATATGACGTGTCACACGAGATAGCTGCACTAGGCCATTATAATAATTATCATTAACCATCCCCCATATACAGTAGTAGTTCTATAGAATTACTAGTGAAATGCTACATGACTCATACCCCGGTCATGACAAACCGTGTTTCAAAAGCTTAGAGTGACAACTAATAGTAAAAGTCTAACATAAGGGCATTGATAAGGGTTAATGACTTTTTTATTTGTAATCTTATTTTTTCTGATGTTATGGTAGTACGTTGCTACTGTGTCTAAATTATATATCTGATACACTTGACCTCAACATTGTGTGCTTCAAACTCATTGTTAGTTCTATCGGGTTGTATGTGAACTATTTCGACTTGTCCCGCAAATTACCATAATGTACTACAGTCTCGTTTTTATGTCAATAATATTCGCATAGAAAGTGTACTTCTGTCAATAAATTTATGAATGAATATTCACGGGGAAATTACTCACAGGGATATAGTTACTTGTCTAACACTGCATGATTCTACACTCTGGTTACACATAGAAACGTTATTTGTAATACTATGAAAGGGAAGTTAAATGTTTAAGAACACAAAGAAAACAACTGAGAAATACATCGCAGTACATCGTCAACTGAATGAGAGGAAGATATATTGACCTCTTCTTACACATGAAGTTTGCAAAAGGCATGAGCACATTCTCTACGTGTCGCACCCATAATGCAACATTCTAAGCCATAATCAACGACTACACAAGACACGTGACATTGATGCCATCCGAAAATATCTATATAAAGGCTAGCGTAGATATATCTATCATTGGAATATAATCACTAAATTTAGAATTGTTAATTGAATAATATATGCGAATGTGAAATTAAAGGATTTAAATTTTATGTATAAATTCAACTTCCTACACATGTATTGCAAATAACACAGATAAGACATTACTAATTTACCTTGACATTGTCCATTCAATTGAGTACAACTGGTTTCATAAGCCATTTCATTTGCCCACGTCCATTCATACGGTAACATTCCTACCACAGGTGATATGTCTACACAAACGTGTGTATAATCTTCACAGCTCAGATCATTTAAACTGAAATCACTAAATGTTACTCCCAATAGTTCAATATTATGATTGGCATTGATATATACCATAGTTGATGGCAAGGATACAGTGCTTGGTATACGTGCTTCTTCTGAATCGGATGCTAAATAAAGTGACGTCTGGAAAACAAACTCTGTTTCGGCTTCGAAGTCAGCTGTTTCTCGGTCGGTTACTATACTGATATCTAAAGTGAAAGTTTTATCGGAGCCCATTATCATATTGAGATCGTTTCCTGTAGCGACCATTAGATCAATAGAAGAGGCAGTAATTTGATCTGAATAAAAACAAGAAAGTTTTGAATTAGTTTTTTGACTTTGTGTTTGTTCAGACTAGGTCAGCCTTTCATGAATTAAAAAGTATAAACAATCGTTTTTCATTCTCAGTTTAAGTTTTCATAATGTGGATATAATTGGGAATGCAGCACCGCAAAAATAAATAAAAAGTAAATATAAATGCGGCAGACACTGAATTTTACGCCCAATGAAAAGGAGCCATGGACTGAGTTGAATCTGTGAGCGTAGGTTGGGAGTATATGATCACGTAGAAAGATTAAAGATATGGACAAATACCCAGTACTGTAAAATAAACAGTATGCCTACTTCTTTAAAAATGCTGCAAATCTTTGGGCAATGTAATCACCAACATAAGTAACCATTGTAATCAGCTTGCAGTTATTAAGATGCGTATTTCGCTATTTATTCAAAGCCGAAACAAAAAAAAATATTTAGTAGCGTTGTTAACTATGTTTTGAATATTTCTGACAAAACGTGCTAATACTATTCAACGTATTCAGCTAACATAACAAGATATAAATTTTTGAAAGCATTTAACTACAAATACACCAACTGATAGCACAAATCTCATACATGAACGGGTACTTACTACAATTAACAATAAAAACTACCGACTTACTTTGACATGTTACAACAGGAAGACAATCAGTAATGACGACACCTGCACCCGACCATATCCAAGGGGAGTCGCTTCTCGGGCCAACATCAACACACAAGTAAAGAGTTTGAGCACAGCCCATTCCTGTGAGGTCGTAATTAACACTGATATTCGCGAGACTGATAAAAGCTCCTGGTGCCATCATGATCATATCACTTGGCAATTCGTGGATTGATGATTTTGATGAAGTATATTCTCCAAACTCGTCGGAGAAGTAAAGGGACACGGAAAACAGAGAGTCTGCAACATCACTGTAAGATTGTGATCCGTTGCTGATCCCGATGTCAATATCAAATACTATAGTTTTACTGCTAGACCCCATAATGAAGTCAAGAGTACCTGGTAGGTCAGAACCTACATGTAGCTGCAAGTCATCGGCATCGATTGGGTCTATTTGACAGAATAAAGAGGTAAAATTAATTTACGTCTCATAGAGGGGGGTATACGTTATTTGCGTTAATGGGAGATATTTACACTTACATTGACACATTCCGAGGTCAATACACGCTGTCTTGAATTCTTCATCAGATTTCCATTGCCAGATAGTATCTTCTACTGGTCTGATTTCTACACAGATCTCACTGTAATGGTTGCACACCAGCTCTCCGAAGTCCATTTCCACTGGTTGAATATCTAAAGCGATGGTGACATCATCACCAAATGTTACTTCATCGCCAAGGATAGACCCCACTAATCGAGGGGTTAGTTCGTCGCTATGCTCGTCTTGTAACTTGGCTGTGCTAGGGTCTACATCATCCATTTTGAGGAACACTTCAACTGCAAATAACTCAGATGCAGGCCCACTAACAGCCTCACTACTGGAGCTAATATGTATATTAATGTGCAATTGAAATACCTTGAGCCACCCAAGTACTATGTCAAGAGTGGCGTATGGCTGACTTGACAGCTCTACATTTGCTGACACCAATGCTGAAAGCATAAAATACCAGAATATTAAAATAACTAATTAACTATCTAATAAAGTTTATTGTGATTCAATTCTTGTTTCCTGTGATTTCTATGGTCAGTAAAACAGTGAACGCGATGACGGTAAATAGGGGAGGGGGAACAAATGTTGTGGTTCCTTTGTTCTCAGCGATATCCCGACAACAATTGGCGAATAACGTATAATGAGAGGAGTACAACAACACAATACAGCTCGATTACCTGTGCCAGTCGATTGAGAACCAATAATTCCTGAAGAAAACAAAATAATTACGTATAAACACATAAAATGCATTGGTTCAGTATTACTAAAGTATGTAGAAAATTACAATGAATCTATATATTTGTTTTATTATTAAATGTTATTTCAATGTGGATATTCAGTGCGAACATATTATAGAAAATTAATATATTATAATATTAATCATGGTTATACTAGATCATATGTGCTTAGCGATCAATAGCTAATTCGAATTGTACCAATCATGTTCTACAACAGGCTATAATGATACGAACAAAGTAGAGTCAATCATAATAGTCAAAATTAATATAATCGCATTTAGTTTACAAATTGTTAATATTTATAGCTCCAAAATCACATCACGTGATACTCACCAAAATATGATCCAATGCCACCACCTCCAAGAACGGATACAGTTAATACTGTTGCTAAGATACCACCTAGCCTTTTTCTACTTCCACTGCTCACTGCAGTCTGAGAAATGCATCGTATAAATATGTCGCAAATATGAATATAGAACATACAAGTCTAATTACAGTGATTAGTGACTAAGCACAAGTGTTTGATTCTCTTTAATGTATTTGGACATATAATCCGATAGCCACAATGCATTTACCTGAATCAATATATTGTCGCCACAAATAGTCAAGTCGGCGCTAATAAAATCAGATTGGTTTCTATGGCAACACATGTTAAGCGTTCGCATATGTTTCGCTGATATATTGCATGAATACAAGTTGTCGACATACTTAATTAAAATATTTGGGTAGACTTATACGTTGATTGCACATCCGAAAAAAAACCGTCTTGAAAGTCATAAAAAGTTGTTATTGATATCGTAAAAGTATTCCAATACACATGTATACGTTTTACTGCATGTTATAACAATATGAAGTGAAAGTGTTTCTTACAAAATGTAAAAATCCCGAGCGTCAAATCGGATTGTCAACAATCTGACCAATTCCGTAAGACTGAGTCACATACAAAAAAACACACGTTTGAATATATGCATATGTGAGAGTTAAAATATCTGAATTTTGATATATATACTGTTTAGATGTCATGGGAAAAGATATACTCAAGGTTGCTCAAATGATAACTAATATACTCACATTGTTGCTGGAAGTACCTACCGGGTTACTCATATCTGGAATACTGATATGTTCCAAACGTGTCACAAAATGTTGAAACTTTAGCGAGGTACAGTACGTAGGCGATCACCTTTATCAAAATTACCACAGTCAAATGAGTTGATGGGCATCTGACTTCGGACGATATGTCTCGACGAATTCCCTATTTCTCTTATATAGGATTAAAGTGACTTTAAGCGTTGCCTCCGTCGTTGTGTGTATGCAACAACTAGTAGTAGAAGCTATACCTGGAGCAATGTTGGTTATTGGGACGCCATAGTACTTGACTTGAATATTGCGAAACTTTTGCTTTGTCTTTGTAATAAGTGTGAAATCTGGCTGATGGTAAAAATGCTAAGTGTATTCTTCGAGTTATTTAATAACAATATCTACATGTTCTGATAGATTGTATTAACAACATAAAACATGAGATTTAAGATTACGATAATAGCCCCGCAGCTAGCAGACGTGCTAACTACCACGCTACACTATTTGCGTAAATAACGTATGTGTCTACCTAGTCGATAGATTATACGCGTCAATTTCCGTCGATTAATGTTTAGTAAATGGGACATTATCTTACATATTGCTGGTATCAAGTGATAGCGTAACTGAGTGTGCACAAACATTGTTTTTGAAATGTACGTTGAATATACGCCATCTACATTATGTATGTGTTGTGCTTGTATTGTTGTTACCATGGAGATATTATTATCTCTTGCACACTCATAATTTTTATCCGCCGTTCTTATCCCTGTGGGTGAGATTTGGTCAATTTACAAGCGTAGTTGTAACAACACAGTACCAGTAAGTCATCGTCGGCACATTATTGAGTATTCATGATTTCAACGCGTACATGTATATCGAATTACATTCTCTGGGTCGTGGTCGAGCGCATTACATCACTAGTAAGAGTGAAAATGTAAGTTGACATATTCATAGATTCTAGTTTCTAGTTATAATTCCTACTTTCACCTGAAAACGTTTTTTTTTGTCATATTAATTTTAAATAGCTGTTCAAGCACCCTTATTAAATGGCGAGGGTGTTGCGGTTTGCATCGTGATTGTTGTACCCGGTAGGTGTATTGAGGCCGCTTTTAATCTTGCTATTAATCCTGTGGGAATTATTGTAAACTTCTTGTATTTCATTTTACATCAATGTGTCGAAAATAATCACTTATTGTTGTGAAGATTATTTCAATCCAGTATACAGCTATTGTTCGGGTAAGATGCTCGCAGTTTGTTCTTTAATGCTTAACAAATTGTCAGATGTTTACGACGTGTTTATTGACAGGACAAGGGAGCACCGCCGTCGGTGCCCAAAGGTGTATTGATTGCCGTTTTATCATTATTATTATTGGTCGGATGTACTATGTTAATAACGTCTACAACAGCTAGTGTCTTACTGTGGACAGGTATGAGTTCTTTTGGTCTAAAATATGTTGACAGATTTTATGAAGATTAAAAATATGGACATTTAATAGAAATGATTAAAATACGTTATTCATTCTTGCCAATTGATTATTATTAATTTACTTATTGTATGCAAATGTGTTATAGTCGTCGAGTTACATCACCATAGTTACGTGTGTAACTCATCTTTAAAATGTATACCACGCATATGTGCAACTATTGGATGATACGAAGTACTTATGGAAAATTCTACTCCATTGGGGTCCACACTAAATCTCATGACAACAAGTTTGATTCAATAACAGTATACGTCATAGCAGTTTCTCTGTGCTTTATTGCCAGATTTGATACGATATCTTACAATTCGGTCCCTATTCTATTACAGGAAGTGACGATAATGGTTTCGTTAATGGTGTGATTAAATTAAATATTATCTGCTATACCGTATATTATGGAATCACGCGTGAATGAACTGATAGTGTACAACGATTATTATGTCATAAGTTCTTATACTAAAAATTATATCTTCACAAAATATTATTTGTTTATCTTGCAGGTAATAAATCGGGTGAGTGAAAACTATATATTCAATAAAATGTGCATTATGCAAATTGGTTGAGTGACGTAATAGCGAGGGTAATTTTGACGCTGCCATAGCCGATGCTAAAAAAGTCATCAAAACTTTCTACGATAAAGACACGTAGTATCTACCGTATAAATTCTATTAAAATATTCAAAGATGTTAAGTGTGTTTAGCTGCTGATCAACAATCCCCAATATAAATGCATTCACAGCAAATAGTGTGCGTCACGATGTTTTTTTTATTCTCAAGCCATATTGACATTAAACTCAGTTTCGATGTCAATTCTTTCTAATGAAGTCATCATGGGTTCACATTATACCTTGGGAATGGATGTGGTATTGGATGTTGGTATAGTGGATGAAATATTTGAGTTCTGGGTGTATTTTAACAACGCGGACAGTACTAGTCAAACTGCAAAACAAGTCCCAGAAAACAGTATAACGTCAGCAATAAACATGACTGTCAGCGGTGCTGTGTTAATCCCCAGCGTTACCACACGACATGACCTTCATTCATTCAAACGGATGCGGGGATTATACTAATCTGCCAAATCAGCCAAATAAATTGTCGTGGTGGACTGGCGCCAATGTAATCTCAGTCTATTGGACGCTTGCGGAATTGAGTATAAACGCAAATTACCACATCACTTTGTTGACTAGGTTTTTTCTGGTATCTGATTAGCGGGGGACATTTTTTGCCTTTCATTTTCGTAGACATTTAAAAAAAGTTTATTCTGTCGTCAGATTACTTATTTTGCTTATAGGTACAGAAAAACATGTAAACGTGTCTGGCTGTCAGACGAGGCACTGAGACATTGTAGCACAAAATCACTGAATATGCCGAAACATGGTCATTTGTTTTACTTCTTTGTTAGATTCAACACGATTAAACATGATTTTATGCGGTCAACAACTAATCTAATATAGAACATGCAACTACACAACAACTACAACAACTGGCTGGTCGCCTACCAACTTACTCCGTTCATGGAGTAATTAGACTATGAAGATGATATTATATATCCAACATTATTTTACTAACTTTGTAAAACTTGTCTTTATTTTAAATATCCAGAATGCGTTTTTGATTTTGGGTCAAAAATATGCTTTTTTGGGCAAAAATGGTTTAACAAAAATTAGCTTAAAAACTTCAAGTCCGTTTGTGGGAATACATTACATCACTGGATACCTTGGTATACTACTGATTCAAATGCGTCCACTCATCTCTCTAACTGCTTTCAAAGTCGCACAGCATGACCTCAAAGTTCACTCTTTTCTATGTTTGAATAATTTATATATCTATATTAATTGCGGACTTGTTATTTTTGTTCCACTCGCCGTAATAAACTGTCCGGACGCATTTTGAAGAAGGAGCACCTTGTCAATAATGTGTGAAAATTTCGAGGCAAATGGCCAGTGTTTATCAGCTATTTTAATTTAAAACCTAAGAATTCACCAAAAATAGAAGACGAGAAAAAGGCCAATTTGCATATTGAAATTGAAAGTTAACGTATAGACATAGACATTTGATGTAAAATCGTTGAACCAGAACAACTGCTCTTGAATATATAAATCAGAAACACTCATTCGTACCAGTGTCTTGATGGGGGTCGGTAAAACACATGGCAATGCCCAGTAAATATGACGTCATCTCATGAAATATTAAACAGGGGGCGGTCCTTAGAAGGTGACCTTTTATCACGACCAAAACATCATGGCTTCTCTTCTATGTATTTTCAATAAAAAATACCGTGAAGAGTACAAAGTGGGATATTAAATGTAGTATTGAGAACCAACTCCAGGAAGCAAACGCACAATAATGAATAATCGCGTAACCCTAGAATCTAAACACGAGGCACGGAAGTTCAGCGTTTCCAATCTCATTTTTCTCACTGCAACATATTTGTTAAAAGAAATATTTGAATACTGTCGTTTTTCAAGAAGGCAATTTCTTCCGATTTTGTTACGCCACATTCAGGGATTTTCTAAGACAGTCGCAGACAATCAGCGCAAGGATGTACGTACAAAACATGCTGTTGTACTACCGGCGACGGTCGCCTGCAAGACGCCTATTCAAGAGTATAAGGTTTATTGTGACTAGCGTGAATGGCTAAGCTTCGCTTCGGCAGTGAGCTGTTATCACTGTAAACAATGTTAAATTATTCTTCACATGCTCAGTTTATTTTTTGAGAACAATTATTTAAAAATAAAATCACTCAGTAAATCAGAAACTCTTCTTTCTACCTCTCTTTCTTTTCACACCACGCATAATGTAATGATAAAAAATAGGAAAAAAACGCTGAGGAAATATAATGTTTGGTTTGCGAGCGAGCGAGAACTGATTTGAGAATAATTGCACATGCGCGTGATTGAATGAACTATGACCCGTACAATCTCGATTTGCATATTGTCAATCAAAGGTCCTGTTATTTGTTTACTCATGCAAATTAGGCAATTGGACATAAACATTGCCACGTGTGAGTGTTTTTTTATTTTTAACCAGAAAATAACCAGCAATTGTAACGGTGTTCCAATAAGAATTCATCGGTCAAATTTTCACAGAATG